AGCAAGGACTTTAATTACTAGGCTATCATTTTAATTTAATATCATTTTTTAAGACTTGCTTTTATTTGAGAGGCATAGTTACAAGAGAGACATGTAGTGATAGAGAGAAAGAGAGACATTCCCCTGTCTGGTTGACTCCCCAAATGGCTGTTTTATTTTATTTTGGCTGTTTCATTTTAGTTTGCCTATTAGGCATCATCTGATTCCATTGCAATTTTATATAAAAGGATTTTTGGGGTGTGATTGTGTAAGATATGCTCCAATGAATGGCGAATTTGACAGAGAAATTTAATGTTTATTGTTTGATAATAAAGTCATGAAGTTAAGTAGATGTTTCTTTCATATATATGGACAGTTTCTTTCACGAATTTATACCTTTTTTTTTTACTTACCTACATAGTCTCTTTTCTTCAGGCTGAGTTTGTTACTTTTAAATAAAGGATTTTCTTTCTAGGACATGCAAAGTACCAGAATGTCAGAGGGCTAGAGGGAAATGGAGAGAGATGAGTGTTTCCAACCATTTTATAGAAAAAAAAATCATCCTATTAAAAATTTGCATGGGTTTTAAATAATTTTAGTGACAAATTTATCCCTAGTCATTTTACATGAACTTTAGAAAGTACCTGTGTTTTTGTCTCTGAAAACTTTTGATTTTATATACATATGTAAATCCGTTCAAGAATACTTAAACCTATTGTTTTACACTACCCCAATTTGAAAATTCTTTGCAATAGGAGTCATCTTCTTTCCTGTCTTTTTGATGTCTGTTATTGACATACCAGCCTTGTAAATACAACTGTTTACAAACATGTATGACGAATTGCATTTTTTGTTGCGATTTCAGCTTATTGGAGAAACTAAAATATTGAAACAAATGGTGAATGGACTTGAACAGAAAATGACATGTATGTACACTGAAAAACTGGCAGACCAACCTATCAATGCCAATGAAAATCACATTGAGGTAAATGGCTCTACTGATGAGTGTGACTGAGTTGGATAGAATTGTATCTTAACTTGGAAACTTAAAAACTTTGTTTTCCAAACAAAATAAAATGAAACAAATCATAGCTATAGCAAATTATGAATTAAATTGCTAGGCTGGAATCTTGACAATATTCTTAGTATCATATAGCTTGCCCTCTGCACCTACAAATTCCACAGCTATGGATTTAACAAACTGCATCCACTCTATTTGAAAAAATATATATATTGTTTCTAACAGATTTTTCTTCTTGTGCTTATTCTCTAATTATGTAATGCTATCACTATTTCCATAACAGAGCTGCTAAGTATCATTTGTAGAATAGAACTGAGCTAAAATATAGGTATTTATGGACTGTACGTGAATGCTGCACTATTGTGCATGAGAGACTTGAGCATCTGTGGATTTTTGCATTTGTGAGTTAGATGGCCGGTTCTTGAACCCTTCCTTTTGTGGATGCCACGTGACAAATGTATTGTTTAACTTTTTCCCCAAGCTCAAAGATTGAAATACATGTTAAACAGAACAACAATGAGATACTATCCTAGCACTGTGTGCAAAGCTGTAGACCTTTTTTTTTTGGTGCCTCAAATTCTTAAAAATGTGAGGCAACTGAAGGATGGAAATTGTAGAGCACAATAGATTTAAGTGGGGCTTTCCAGAGAAATATATGACACAGTCATGTGATATTTTTGTTACAGTGCTAGAAATTTTTTCTGCATTCAAAGGAAAAAACTATCCAACGCTGGGAAAATTCTCATGTTCTAATTTGAATATTTCTTAAGAATGTATTTTATCTCAGTTGAACTCCTCACTTAATTATGTTTTTTTAATACATGAAAATTTGTAATTTTTTATATCACATATTATTCATTATATAAAATATATCCTTTATGTTAATGATTGCTATTATTTGTAACAGATAATCATCTCATAAAACATTTTGTTATTTTAAAATACGGATGTAGCAAGAATGAACAATTATAAAATGTTTGATTAAGAATCACTAGTTTCAGTTTTGTTTTGTAGAGCTTAATAGCCACAACAGCCTTGCCTGGACCTTGTCGTAGCCAGCAGCCCGGAACTCCATCTGAATGTCCAACCAAGGCGGCAGGAATGCATATACTTGCACCACCTGTCGGTGTGGGGTTTAGGGATGAATATGGTCATGGAAGAGAACTAAGAAGTTCTCTTCTTAGTCAGGACGGGAACCCTGGCATTCAGGTGAGACTATGGGCATCTCAATGGGCATCTTAACCACTGTGCCAAATACCTACTGTAGGTAGATTTATTTAAAAATTGTAGTTGTACATCCACAAGAAATACATTTGGGCTGGTATTGTGCTACTGTAGGTGAAGCTACCACATACATTAGCATCTCATAGCTCCTTGGTAATGTACTTGGAAAAGCAGCAGAAAAATGGGCCAGTTACTTGGACTTCTGCACAAATGTGTGAGACCCAGATGGAGTTCCTGGCTCCTGGCTTCAGTTGTTGTGGTAATTTGAGTAGCAAACCCATGAATGGAAGAGTGTTTGTCCCTGTCTTCTCCTCTCTGTTGACTTTCAAATAAAGAAGTAAATCAATCTTAAGAGGAAAGAAATAATAAATACACTAGTGTAAGTCATTACCCTCTGTCTTTTTTTGTTTTTTTTTTTTTCAATCACCGAACACGTTCTAAAGACGGAAATGTGCTCTGCCAATCTTGGAGACGAGATAACCAATGATGACTGTGTGGAACAAGACATGAAGAGTGACTCAGAAAACGGTACTCCCTTAGATATTAGATATTAAGTCAGGATTCATCTTTTGATAAAATGATGGCTACTTCTTTTGGTTGTTTCGCCTCCAGTCCTTGTTTTTGATACACTGTGCTTTGGCTTGTCTGTAACACAGCGTCATTGTCTCCCTTTACATTTACCTTCAGCTGGAACACCTGCAGTCAATCCCTTCAGCTCCATAGATAGACTTGTAGTCTCCTTCCCTGCTGTTCTCTTCACAGCTAATACATGTCTTCCTTACAGCAGTTTTTAAAAAATACCATAATCATTTCACTGCTTGTTTTTCTCTCTGTTGTAGGCCAAACAAATGGATAGGTGACAAGTTCAAAATATGAGTGCTACATAAAGCACTGATACATAGCTCAAGATTTTTATTAAGTTAAATCATTACATTACTTTGGATCATCACAATAATTGTTACTATTACCCATTGCAGTCGACCTGCCAACAATTGGGTTAGCTGAAGCCATTCACTGTGTTCTCAAATCAATCCTGATGACTTTGTTATTTTTCTTTAAGTGACATTGAGGGGCTGGCATTGTGGCACAGTGTTTTAAGGTGCCACTTGCAATGCTGGCATCAGTATGAATAACTTGCTTGAGTCCTGCCTGCTACACTTCCTTTCCAGCTTCCCGCTAATGTAGCTAGAGAGACAGTGGGAAATGGAAGATGAAAGTACCTGTGTCCCTGATGCCCGCAAGGGAGACCTGGAAAGGGCTCTGCGTTCCTGGATGCTATTTGTCCCAGCCCTGACTGTTGATGTGTTAGGGATGTGAAGCAGCAGAAGAAAGTTTGGTCTCTGTCTCTGGTTCTCCTTTACTCTCCCTCACTCTCTGTAACTCAGCCACTCAAACAAATAAATCTCAGAAAATATTTTATTTTGAAATTGTTACAGATTTACAGGAAGTTTAAAAGTAATATAGATAGATCTCATGTTCCTTACTACCCGTTTCCTTCCTTGGTGGTTCTTCCAAATGCTATGCTTTCTCCCCCGCAACTACAGCACAAGTAATAAATACATTCATGAAGAAAGATGTGATTTTTAAATTGTGAAGGATTTATGTATTGATTGATTTACTGAAAATGAACAATGACAGACAAGAGATGGATATTGAGAGATCCTTTATTACTGATTCAGTCCCCAAATGCCCATATCTGCTGGGGTTGGACCAGACAGAAGACCAGGAATTCATGCAGGTCTCCTAAGTGATTGGCCAGAACCCAAGAATTTGAACTTTCCTCTGTTGATTCCCTGGTACATTAACAGGAAACCTGACTGGAAGTGAAAGGTGTACTTAAAATCTGTGTGTGTGTGTGTGTGTGTGTGTGATGCAGCAGTATTATGGCAAGAGAAAATTGCTTCTCATAGTAGGCTTATTTAGTAAGGGGAATAGTGCAAGATTTTAGGCTTGAAACTGACTTGTTCTGAAACTTATATTTATTATGTCCTTTTATTCTGTCAGTGTACAATTTATAAAAAAAGCTGAATTTATGGGTGACAAAGTAAGAGATTAACAAAAAAACTAAAAATAAAGCAGTATGTATAACATTTCTTTTAAAGATTTATTATTATTATTTTTTTATTGGAAAGGCAGATATACAGAGAGGAGAGACAGAGAGGAAGATCTTCTGTCCGATGATTCATTCCCCAAGTGAGCACAACGGCCGATGCTATGCGGATCTGAAGCCAGGAGACTTTTCCAGGTCTCCCACACGGGTGCAGGGTCCCAAAGCTTTGGGCCATGCTTTCCCAGGCCACAGGCAGGGAGCTGGAAGGGAAGCGGGGCTGCCGGGATAGAACCGGCGCCCATATGGGATCCCGGGCGTGCAAGGTGAGGACCTTAACCACTGCGCCACTGTGCTGGGCCCTAACATTTCTTTTATAGTCAGTTTTAAGTTTGAAGTTTTAAGTTGGGTTTAAAAAGCGTCTCATTTGAAAAATTTTAAATCACAGAATTTATATTTACATTAGTAAAGTATAGAAGGAAATATTTGAATGTCAGTAATCATGTTTGAATAGAGAAACATGGGCAGTTTATAATCTAATCTGTATTTTCAAAATTCTACAATAAACGAGCCATATCTGTAATAATGAAACACTGTTTTATAAATAATACTCGTGCCTGGTGCAGTGGCCTAGCGGCTACAGTCTTAACCTTGAACACACCTGCATCCCATGTGGGCACCAGTTCTATCCCAGTGGCCCCATTTCCCATTTAGCTCCCAACTTGTGGCCTGGGAAAGCAGTCAAGGATGGGCCAGAGCCTTGGGACCCTGCACCCGCATGGGAGACCTGGAGGAAGTTCCTGGCTCCTGGGTTCAGATTGGCTCAGCTCTGGCCGTTGCGCTCACTTGTGGACTGAATCATTGGACAGATCTTCTTCTCTGTCTCTCTCATCTCTGTATATCTGAGTTTGCAATGAAAAATAAATAAATCTTAAAGTAATAATACTCAACATCAATTTAATAAATAATTTTTTAGCAGTGGCGTAAGTAGCTTAACTTTTAAAATGGGTTGCAAAAGTTTTTTAAAAGTACAGATACACATAGTTTTGTGTGAATTCAGTCATTTATTTTTAAGATATTTACTTAAAATATCCTTGCATTTTCATTTAAATAAGTAGTGAATATTTTAGAATAGTTATATACCCATAACATGTAATTACTAAATTTTTTTATTTATTAATATGATTTTGTATTTTTTCTTTTCATTAAGTTTGGGGTAGTGATAGGTGCCACATTTGGGAAAATATGTCTTTCCTACATTCTATCATCAAATAATACACCTATTTTTGAAGCATTCAGATTATTTAGAATTGTTAGTTTTCATTTTTATAAGATTACTGTAGGTGAATGAGCAGTTGAAGGTAGGTTAAAATTTATACTTTTCTCTCAGGCATATGTTGGTTTAAGTCTGGAGGACATCTGAGTATTTATTAGCCAAAAGGTCTAAATTTCTTGTATGATTTATTACCTACATTATGTTTATGCCCAAATGTTAGTGCTGAATAGAACTATAATACTATTGAGAGGCAAATTCTTTACTAGATGAAATGGATATTACTGATTGTTATGGAAATAGTTTAAGGGACTATCGAAATAAAATACTTTTAAAAGCCTTTTTTCTTCATGGATTTTAGCTTCTAAGTTGAATAATAGATGCTAGATTGAATGGAAGTTTTTGAGGATTGTACACAAAAATATGAGACAATATTTAGAATAGTAGACCAAGATCTTTAAACTATTGAAAAGCATTAGATATTCTATTGTTGGAGCCAGTTTAATTTTGTTAATTTTGTTATTAACTTATTAATTTGGTACCTTCTGTCCTCAGATGTTAGTATGTAACTTAAATTATTCCTTGTGCTATGACCTAAAATTTCCTTTAGAACATATTGAAAATCTTCAGACTGAACAAATACCTATGAAGTCAGAAGAGACACAATTTGGAAATGAAATTGGGACACATCCACAGGAAGTCCCAATAAGGACTGAAGTATATCAAGGAAATGACATGACGACTTGCAGGTAATAAAAATCAAATTGCCAGCTCCATTGGATGAAAAGTAAAATAGCCTTTGAAAGCAGAGTCATGTATTACATTTTCAAATTTCTGTGATTACTGAATGTTTCTAATTTGTGATTAGATTTGCAAAAAAAATAGATTTGCTCATTCATTTTTTTTTAGGGTGGAATGCTACTCACCTTTTGGAAAGGCTGAAATTCTACCATCTGCAAAATGGTCCCAAGCCGTTGACCATTATGCTCACTGCAAATAAGCCAGTACCAAAAGGAACATGTGCTTTTTCTGATATAAAGCAACTTGCATGCAACATAGATGGATAGTGTAGTATCAGAGAATCACTGTGAGCCCTGCATCCTGATCCAATCACAGTCATGCACTGCACACTGTTGTTTGGGTCAGACAGTATATATAGGGGTGGATCCAAAGGTGTAAATTACCTGGTGACATGATACCTATGTCCAATTAAGTGTATTTTCATAATGCTGTTCCATAGGCACAGAGATTCCCGCTTCATACCTCATTCTGAACTACTGTATTATAACAGCAATGTCCTATAGCAACAATCACAAGCCTATGACTCTTCTATTTAAGTATGTCTTGGCTTTGTAGGTATAGACAATGCTAGAAAATCTCGTATGCTTTGGTCAAAATATATTTAACATTTTCATTGTGAGTCCTCTTACTAGGGAGAAGAGGTGCATATTGGAAAGTATCTTCAATGATAAATATATGTATGTACATGTTTGCCTAAATATTGATCTGGGATTTTGCGTGCAGGTTGACATATCAGAGAGAACATGTGATGTTCGTTCTTTGGGGATTGACTTATTTCACTGAGAATAATGGTCTCTAGCTGGGACCATTTTGCAGCAAATGGTAGAATTTGATGCATTTCGGTGTGTGAGTATTGTTCTATGTAGTAGATCTGCTACCGTTTCTTTATCCATCTTTTGAAAGGCATCTGGGCTGTTTCCATGCCTTTGCTTGTGTGGATCATGCTGCTATAACTATAGGGTTGCAGGTCACTTTTTCATATGCAGTTTTCACATTATTTGGATTTTTTTTTCAGTACTGGACTAGCTGTACAATATGGTAGATTCACTTTCAGATGTCCTAATACTCTCCATACTGACTGACAAAGTGGTGACAATATGTTGCATTCCCACCAATGGTGAGACAGGGTACCATTGTTCCCACATCCATGCCAGCCATGTTAATAGATTGACAAATGTAGACCATTCTCACTGGTATTTACTGGAATGGTAATGTAGTTTTTATTGGCATTTCCGTAGTAAATAGGGAGCAGAACCCTCTGAGCCTGTGCCACACTGGGGACCCTAAGATGGCATTGGAGGGCCATTCCCCATCCCCAGGTGCTGAAGCAGTTGAGAGTGTGGGTGTCAATCCCCTCCCACTCCCTGTTTTCCAAGACACAGAAAGTAGGAAAATTTTGAAACCATGGTCTGATCTACTTTCCCCTAATCCAGGACACTTCCCATCCTAATCGACTGTGTAAACAAAGTAAGAAATAAAATGTATATAAAGAAAAAAAATTATCTGCATTTATCATGATATAAGACCTGAATAAGTTTCTTGCATTCATATATATATATGTATATATATTTGTTTAATGGATTGTAATATTTTTGTAGTGTTGTTTCAGTCTTTATGCAAGATCATTACATGTAAGTTCTAAGTATAGATGCTGCTACAATCTCAGGGCTTCAAAAGCCACTTATCATTGCAAGCAGTATGCACACTAATAAAAATAGTACTGATTACACTACTAACATAATTTACTTCAGGAGTAGTATGATTTTGTTACTTTCTGATAAGACCCAGAAGCCAACTCAAGACTTAAAACTGGTGTAAAATGATTTATTCCTTTTCTTATTCGAAAATCAGCATTAGAGAGAGGGAGAGGAACCTTGCATCTGCTGGTTGATACTGCACATTCCTGCAGCAGCCAGTGCTGTGCCTGGCTGAGGATCTGCATGTGGGATTCCCACATCATTAACCACCTATCTAAAATGACTTAAACATGGTTTATTGTGGCTGACTCCTGTGTAACAAATATAATGCTGCTTTATATAGGAAGACTGGATAAATGTTATGTGTTCTCATAATTTCACTTTTTTAACCTTTTAAATCTAATTTCTATGTGAAATTCCTACACAAAACGTTGGTGTCTGTTGTGATAGCAGTAGTATTTTAGATGGTTTGCGTTAAAATTTGAATTTATAATGTTAAATACTATACCAGGTATGTTTATATAGCAGTTTTATGTTGTGTTTGTAATGATAAGTACGAAAATACTTTTGGGAATCACCAATTTTGATATAGCTAAGCAATAAAGTTCATTGTTTTATCATGTGTATTAAGGGAAATATGTAATGTTTTGCTTAAGGGAATTAATGACAAAGGAAAATTGCCAACTAAAGAAAGAAGATCATCTTTTCAAAGTAGATGATATGCTTCACTGTGAAACACAAGCGATCACCCTCAATCGGTATGAAATGCTTTTTCTTTTGTGGGTTGGAGAGTAGCTAAAAGCTCACTACGAGAAAAAATCAGAGAAAATGCACAGTTAATATTATTTGGATAGGTATATGAGATTTTTTTAAATTTATTCAATTTTCTTGGAAAGGCAGATTTACAGATAGAAGGAGACAAGATCTTTCATTGGCTGGATCACTCAAGTGGCTGCAATAGCCAGAGCTGAGCTGATCCAAAGCCAAGAGCTTTCTGGGTCTTCCACATGGTTGTAGGGTCCCAAGGTTTTGCGCCACCCTCCTTTTCCAGGCCAGAAGTAGGGAGCTGGATCGGAAGTGGAGCAGCTGAAGTAGGAACTGCTGCCCACATAAGATCCCTATGATTTGCAAGGTGAAGATTTAGCCATCACACTAGACTGTTTAAAAGTCTCTTTTCATGGATTTATTTTATTTGAAAGTTAGAGGTACAGAAAGACAGATAAAGGTTAGATTGGCTTGGCCACATGACCAGAAGTAGAGCTCCTGTAATCTGAATGAGGTGCCTCTATGAGATTATGGTGCCTCAGGCATAGACTTATCCCATTATGCCACTGAGCCAGCTTTGTTTACAAGACTTTAAGTCCAGCTTTAACCTTGGATCCTTGTTCACTTGGCCCAAGGAAATAATGTAAAGGCTATAGACAAAAGGCAAGGTTCAGCTGTACGTGAATAGTTGTGCATCACAAAAAAAGCAAAGTTGGATTTTATCTTAAAGATTTAGCTTGTTAGTCTTTTTTAATTGAGTCATGTGTTTGAAAGGCAGCAAACAGAAAAAGAGGAGAAACATGGAGCAAGGAACAATTAGAGAATGAATGAATGAATGAAGCTTTTATCTGCTGACTCATTCTCAATGACCACAGCTGTGGGTGGGACAGTATGAAACAAGGAGCCAGTAGCTTGCCTGTGGGTCTCCTACATGGGCCCAAACACGTAGGCCATTTTTCTCTGCGTTCCCAGGCACATTAGCAGGGAGCTTGATAATGTGGGGCAGCTGGAACTTAAATGAGTGCCCATGAGAGATGTGGGTGATGCAACAGCAGCCTTTGACCACCTTGTCACAGTGCTGTCCCCATCATTTTAATCTTGCAAACGTAATGAATAACATTTGCCAAATAGAGGACATTGATTTCCTATGATCACATTAAGATTTCAGATGACTGAATAAGCCTCCCGTGATCATACTTAAAGCAGATACACACACAGTCTAAATCTTGGGATAACCTTTGTTTCAGGAGTGCCTAAATACTAGAATATTAACATCAGATCATGTTTTTTAAAGAACGTGATAGTTCCTCATGTTTGTTTCTCAATATGTATAGTTTTGGGAGTTTTTCCCCTAGAATAGAAAATTCTTGATGTAAATAATGTTTTATGAGTGCCCTGTGCATTGTGCTTATACATTAATGTCAAAATAATTTTTCTTCCTAGCTGGAGAATCAAAGTCCTTGAACAAGAATTGGAAAGAACAATCGATTACTTTCAAATACAGGTGTGTGTGATGTGTGCTTGCACATGTGTGTACCATTCATTATTACCAGGTGCAGGTGTGGGTGTCTGTGTGTGTGTACATGAATGCATGTACCATTCATTATTAACAGGTATAGGTGTGTGTGTGTGTCTGTGTAACATTCAGTATTACCAGGTATACATATGTGTGTGCGTATGTGCATGTGTGTACCACTCTTTATTAGGTACAGGTGTGTGTGAGTGTGTGTGTGTGTGCGCATGCACACATGCATACAAGCACCATTCTTTATTACCAAGTACAGGTATGTGTGTGTGCACACGTGTATGCATGTACCATTCATTATAATCATGTGTAGGTATGTGTGTATGTGTGTGCAAGCACATGCATAGATGTAGGTCCTAACACCTGAGTGTTGAAATTGAATTGAAAGAGAAAATGAATTTCTCCATCCGTTGCACACTTTTGTTTAGAATGTCACATGTGGCTAAGACGTTTCAACAGTTTCAGGATTTCAAAGAGCTTGACACAAGACTTCTTAGGTATCATGTCCACTGCCTAGTTTTAAAAGTACATTAGATTTCACAAGTGAAAATTATTGACCAAAGAACCTAAAGTAGAAGTGTATTACTTATATTTTAATTGTCTTCACATATACTTATAATACGTGATGTGTACCTGAAAATTTTCATCAATATTGTTGTTAGTGATGTTTGAAATAGTTTTGACTTTTTGAGTAATTTCCTAAGCAAATGATAGGTACGTTTTTAATATAAGAAAAGTATACATTTAAAATATTCTGTTTTTCAGATTATTTATTTAAAGAAAAATGCAAATGACAATTGGGTAAGTTTCAAATTCCCTTAAAGCTTTTTACCTTTTATCAATGAAATTATGATTTTACTTCCAGAAGATAATACTGAGCAACTAAATTGAAGAAAATAAATTGCTATGTAAAGGATCACTTTATTTTAATTGCACCAAAAGTGGAATTACCCTTCTTGTGAGAATGAACACATTGACCAACCCATACAGTCTGGTTTTAGCACATTGCTATTTTGAAAGGAACCTATAGTGTCCACAAGGGTCAGAAGGATGTGATGTGTATATACAAATATCAGGGTCCCAGATTCACATTGTTGGGGCATTGGATTGCCAGTTGTTATTTATGAAGAAAAAAAGTACTCTGAGTCATTTTAATCATTTGTAAACAATGGGGTGGATAAAGCGCTAACTAAGCCTCTTCTACTTCTAAAATTCAGGGTTCTTTAAATATTTATTGAGTTACTCACTACGTATTTAGAAGTGGGTGATTGTGAACACTGGTCTGTGCTGCAGAGGAACTACATGAGGTTATGAGGTGTCTTTTGGGGAGTTCCTGACACAGAGAGATGGAGGAGGCTACTTTTGCGCCCTTTGATGTTCTAGGCACTGTACTTGAAAAGATTGTGAAATAACATCCATTAAGTCTACTTAATAACAGTGAAGTAGATTTTATTATTACAGATTTTATAGATAGACAACAGCCCATGGTCACGTTATTAGGAAGTGAAAAGTAGAGATTACAATCCTGATCTTTCCGAGCCTAAGTCTTGTATATTTTCTATCACTTTACATTGATTTTATTATTTGGTGTGTGTGACTTTATGTTGAAAGACATAGAAAGTGTGCCCTCTAGATCTCAATGAAGCAGTATTTGTCACATCCAATAGAAGTAGCATGTACTTCCTGAAAGTTCAGACCAGGGCAGTTGTCTGACCTAGCATTTTGGGTGCCAGTTAGAATGCCTCCATCACACACAGGGTATTTCGGTTGAACTGCTCTAACTGCATCCAGCTCCTTCAATTTCCTTACTTCCATCTTTGCCCTGGCCCAGTTCCAGCTCATGTTGGATTTGGGAAGTGAAGCAGAGTATAAGGAGTTTATTCCATCGATCTGCCTCCTCACGTAAATGAATATGGCAACCCAAATTCAGATGATGTACAAAGCATGCATTTACACACATTTTGAAAATATTTCTAAGATTTCTTATTTGAATGATAGAGGGGGATGCAGAGAAAGACATTGAGCATTCTTCCATGGACTGGTTAACTGTCCAAAATGGCCACAAAATGTGTCCAGATCTGATTGTATCCAGGATCTAGGAACTCCCCATGCAATCTCCTATGTGGTTGCAATGAGCCATCATTCCTTGCCTGTAGCTCACGTTGGCAGGAAGCTCTGTATGACACTTAGAGTAACTGTGACTTGAACCAAGCACTCTGATATGGGATGTTGGCTCTAGTCCTGTGGTGCCATAAAGATTACCAAAAGCTCATATGAGCATTTCACAAAACGTGGAGTACATTATATCCTATTTTTGTAGCCTTATTTCTTAATGTGTTACAGGTTTATATTTGCCTTTCTAAAACCGTTTTCATGATTATTATTATCATTTTATGCTACAATTAAATAGGCCCTGGGATTTTCCTTACCCCTTCCCCAAGTTACCTTCCCTACTGGGTTCCCCTATATTATTACCATAATACATAATACTTAAACAGCCATATGTCCATCATTGCGGGCAAGGACCATGGCAAAGAGCCGAACTTTGTAGCCTTGTTTCTTAATGTGTTACAGGTATTTTTTGAAACAAATCTTTTATAATTTATTTTAAAAAGTCATGTTTAATTAACCTGTTTGTTTTCTCATTCTTTCCCTTGTAATTTCAAATAATTTTGGTTCCACATATCAATAGTTGAATAGTTTATTTTACTAATTATCTTTGGCATAATTTCTTAGTAAAAATTTGTTACACCATTACATGTAGGAATAATATTTACATACATGTATTTTTCTGTGATGGCAAGGTTTGCAAATAAGTGATTCATTTTGTAAATATTTATGTGGTTTATTCTTTGTCCAAGCTATTTCTACCATGCAGTTCAGTCTTTAATAAATATCAGAGTAATTGCTTTTACTTTGTAAAAATGCAGACTAACTTCTTTTTATTTGTAATCAATTATAAATTAAGTGACTTTACCTATACTTACGTGATAAGCCTTGTGAATCATATGGTTTTCCCAGTCCGAAATTTCACAAAATGATTGCAAATCATCTGGAGATCTCTCAGAATGAGGTTAAGCTTTCCACATGAATAGTTGTGATTGTTGCATGCTGTTGATATTCACTAGGTTGTGCAAGCTTTGTTCTCTGCAACATTTGATTTTATCTTACCTCTTACTGAATAAAATGGGATATGATTTACGCAGCACCATGAACTTACTGGAAGTGCAACATGCATTGATAATTTCACCGATTTTTTTTTTTAAACAGCATTTAGCCACGTGCTGCAAAACTGTTTTAGACCTTTATGGTTTCACAGAATCATAGTGAATTTTCTGTAGAGATGATCGCCTTGAGGCAAATATGCAAAGCTGCCATGTGTAATGATTCTGAGTCTCTGTTGCCGTTGCCTGAGGCTTGCATCCTCCCACATTGCCCTTAGCCTCTTCCTTGACTAATCAAACAGTCCCCCATCTCACATCAGAGAGCAGCATTCATTGGCCAGTGCACAAGTCATCTCCAGTTTTAGGCCCATGTCATCTGCTTACCTGAAATATTTCCTTTTTATCTGCATTTCGTTAAAGTGGATGCATACATTGACAGTGATATTTGTATGCTCTAGGAAGATCATGCTCGTTTTCATCTAACATTTGTCTGCATGTCTCTCCATCTTTTGTTATTTTTCAGTGGGCAGCTCGGTTTGCCGAGAGTACACTCCATAACTTCAAGAAAGAAAATGTATATAAAAGCAAAAAGTAAGTTTCTTAGTGGTAACACTTAACAACTTTTAGCTCTTTTATTGTCACTTTCTTAATTAGGTAATATTATAGGGATAAATAATAAAATTTCAGTGAATGCAGCATTTTTCACTGTGAAGTATTTACTTGTTTTGTCCATTGTTTTAAATATTTACATCACTGACATATAATTTGAAAGAAACTTCACAGATTTTTATGTATGCTTTTCTGTTTTTCAGTATTTAATATGGACTGAGCTAGTCATCTAATCTAGGATTACTAATTGAGAATCATGCTTAAATCTCCAGACTGAACAAGTATCTTTGCAGTGAAAAAGGCAAAAATTAAGAAGCTTCAGGAAAAACTTACAATAATGACTGAAATGTATAAATAAAATGAAATAAAATGTCACCAGTGACAAGGATTATATGACAAGCTGCACTGGATGGCAAGAAAACTAGACTTCAAAGCCTAAGCATATATTTCATGTTCAGTCTCTGTGATCACTGGATATTCACAATTCATGATTCATTTATAAAATATTATTTGCTCTTAAATACTTTCCTCAAGAAAGTGTTGAAAGTGATATTTGACATTCTAAGCTATTCCACAAAGGCTTGTGTAATCATTATCATGTGATTCCTCAGTGTAAGAGCACCTTAAATTAGATCATAATTGATGCTATCTGACTGGGTCAGGGGATTCAGTTCCATTCAATTTTGCGTGCATCCACCTCTAATATGTATAAAGCTGACACTTCTCCTTTGTGCTGATTGCTCCTGCTCAGGTATTCCATGTCTTAGTTAAAGATTCATTTGTCTAGTTGATCAGGGTGACTCTTCAAGCTATACTTGACATCAGTTTTTCTATCATATATTATATTAATAAGCACTTTATGACATTTAAAATGCTAGAGAGGAACTTATTAAGGAAGATTTATTTTGCCTAATGGGATGGAAGTACACTGTCCAAAATTGAGTGGCCTCATGGGTTCTGGCTTGGTGAAGTTGGAGAATAGTGTAGAGACCATTTATCATGGAGTGGGCCAGGAATCAGAGAGAGACTGGAGACATACTCTGCTTCTAAAACCTGCTCTCTCTAGTGATCTGTCTCTTCTTGGCAACTGTTCAGTGACCTACAACCTCTCTTTTGGTGCAGCTAGCTTCTAGATGATATGATTTGAACCTGCCTGCACCACCAATGAGCTATCATTAATCATTAGCCTTTCTTCTTTGAA